TGTCAGATCAAAAGACCCAAACTAACAATCAATGTACTAACAAGTGTGTGTCTCAAAACCTGATATATTTTATTCCTTGATTTAAAATATGAACACATCTTCACTTAAGTTCATAAACAAATGTAATCTATTCTAACTAATAACACACAAATCATGATCCAAGTTATGTTTTATTGTTAGGCGTCCTCTAGCAGTCATAGTAATTATGATGGGAGCAAAGGAGGAACTTAGATGACATCATAGAAGTGACGTCGACAGCACCCGTATACATTCCAACACGTTGCCGTAGTGATGGAAATCAAAGATCAATAAGCAAAATTTAACTCTGACAACAGCTTCTTCATTTCAGGAAACCGAGGTCTCTGAACATTGCTACGATCTGTCTCTTAAAATGAGCTGAGAGCTCTTGATATTTGCTTTAGAGACAATTTAATATCAATGAGGAGTTTGTTACTTCAGCACCACGGACAGCGTCATGGTTTCATCAACACAGTGCAGAGAGGTTGTGGGCAGGAGAGGGAGGCTGGAGGTTAACAACAGTTTGTGCATTTGGGCCTTTTTGTTAACAAAGGAGTTAGTCTTTCTCCTGTAGTAGACAGCTGGGCTGCAACAGCAGGAAGTGTCGACACAGAATCTATGTCATCACATCACGCCGTAGTCGTCTCTTCAACCGTTGCTGCTTAAAGTCTCTAATGTTCATGTTAGGAGGAGAGGTGGGTCCAGAAGACACATGACTCTCATGCAGGAATCTGTTATGTGTTTCCTTTGTGAACCGATGGTCTGCTGTGGATCTTGTCCGATAGGGACAAGCGACACACATGGTCTCTTAGGTTGGGGGACTTGTAGATGTGAAGCCCCAGGCCACTGATATCAGCAACAGCCAATTGGAGTTAGCAGTTAGCAAACGAGTCCAGTCAATGAAACATAATTGGTGGTGTGCATTAGAGCTACTTAAACCACGCCTCACAAAAAAAAGATATCATAAGACTTATAATCAAGACTTGTTGATTAGCTCCACCCACACACTTACTGCTCATGTGCTGGTATCTTTACCATGGTTTACACATGGAGGCAGCAGTGGACTGTCACTGACTCACTTTAAATGAATAATGACGTTAAAAACCAGAAAGGTCTGGCTGTAACTGCAGACAACAGACAGGAGGAGCAGAGCAGGTCAGGACAACAGCTCCCAGTAAGTCCAGTATGAACCCCGTCAGGTTTTACAGCACAAACAGTAGGCAGAAGACAACAGGAAGCTTGTCTGAGGTTGTTCAGCAGGATGTTGTATAGCTTTTGTTTTCTGGTCTGGTTTCATCAGAGTTTTGAATAAACTAATTTAAATATTCAAAGTCTGTGATATATTACATTGATGTGGAGCTGTCCAGGGCCAGAGGCAGCAAAGACCCAGATTCTTATGCTCCCTCCACCCTGCTCCACCTGTGGGAGGATGTTTCCATGTTGGTCTCAGAGACCTGTTTACACCACACATAGAGCTGAAGTTCTTCAAACAGTTCAACCTCAGTCTCATCAGTCCAGTAGTGTTGTGGAAGAGTCAAATTTCAGGTCAGTGATGCAGCAGCTTCCTCTGTGGTGTCCATGGCAACAGGACTCCATTCTCCATGATGTGTGTGTGGTGGACTCATGAGCAGAGATGTGAACCACCTCCAATGATTCCTTTCAACCTTCAGCTGTCACTCTGAGCTTCTTTGTTCCTGATGAGCTGTTGGTCTCAGCTGGACGTCCACTTCCATGGAGAGTAGCCACGTCACTGAATCATTTCCATCTGTAGACTGTCTGACTGTGGACTGATGAAGATCTAAACTCTGTAACCCCTTCAGCTTCAAGCTCATCAACTCTTCTTGATCACAAGTATTCTGAGATCTGTAGTGTGAGGCATTGCTCTAACCTGCACCTCTAATCTGGTTTCACTGACTGACTCCAGGTCTGTTAACTCCTGACTCCAGTTAGCTTGTGTTGATGCCATTAGTTGCAGGGTTCCCAGACTTTACAGTCTCCACCTTGAATGTTTGGATCATGTTTTCAATATGGACAACAACAACAATGATGCGTGTGTTTATTAGTTAAAATAGTTATAATTACTCCTGCTACTAATAATAACCAATAATAATTGTACTTTAGATGAAGGTCTGACCAGATTTTAGGACAAATCAATACATAAATGGAGAAAATTCTAAAGGCTTCACTTACTTTCTCTTGCCACTGTAAATATAAAGTGTGACATGGGCTGCATGTGATGGTGTCTCCACATGGGTTTTGGTGGGCCAGTCAGGGTCCTAAGTCCCAGGCTGAATTTAATTCCCACTCCGCCTCAGGTCCACAGTCAGTCAAACGTTTTATAAATGGAGATGATTTAGCTCTGTGGCTACTTTGCCTGGACGTGGACGGCCAGCCAAGATTACTCCAATGATACAACACAGATGCTCAGTGAGGTGAAAAAAAACAGCTAAAGGCTAATAGGAGCTGGTTAAGAAATGTTAATCATGGAAGGAAAGGAAAATTACAGGCCAGTGTATTGTTAATTGCAAGGTTTTTATAAATGTATACACTGATCGACTGTTGGTCAGCCCCATTCACTTCTGAAACTAAACCTATACCCTATCACCCATAAGGCAACATAACAGTGCCACAGTGCAGAAGGTTGATTAATTCACTTTGATAAGGTGCAGTATATATTATCTGAAGGCCTATTAGTTTTGAGGTAAGTGGAGACGTCCACGTGTTCTGAATGTAAAAATCCCATTCATTTTCTGCACGTTAGGAGACTGACGGTTGGATGCGTACAACACTGTCCGGGTTGGCTCATCAGCACAAATAACTGATAAAAGCTGAGGTTCAAAGATTGAGAACAATCTCAGCATATTGTCCATTTAGCAGCTACTCTGGACCTCCTGATTAAGTCACGTCATCTTCAGAGAGAAGGGGGGTGACATGCAGCAAAGGGCCGCGGGTCTTATTCCAACCTGGGCCGCTGTTGTTAGGACTAAGCATTGTGGTACGCGCTCTACCCGGTGAGCCACCGGGGCGCTATCTGGTCATCCTCGAGTCCAAGTGAATGTTTGTGGCAAATTTGAAGAAATTCCCTCTAGTTGTTGCTGAGATATCACGTTCACGGGAATGAGATGGACGTATGTACAGACAGAACGCCTCCGGCTCTGACTAACTCACTTGCAGACAACATAATGAAGTAAAAACTAGTTCCAGAAGCAGCGTCTCCCCCCTCTTCACTACTTCAAGTATCGTGTAACTGAAGCTGCTGATACACAGTGTAGTCACCACTTAGTGCAAATTTTCTTGAAGGACTGTTACCCCCTGTCATGCTAACTGTACAGGTACTCACTTTATTCCAGTCAATGGACAGTCTCATGGAAAACAAGAGCTTAGTCAATAGAAATACAAAGAAAACGACAGTTCAGTCAGTAGACCCTCATCAATGACGCCCGAGGTTGGCTCTTTCAATCTGCACCGTGCTTCTCTTTGTCCCCAAAATGCTCTATGGTACAAAAGACTGTTATTTTTTTTGAGTGCTAAAATGTTTTTAAAAGTCACTGTATGTTTTTGTCCCTGGAATTTTATTCTTGCCGAGGTAGAGAAGCCGTGGAATCAGCGTACGCCATATTAGAATAATGTTGTGGTTAATCGTTGTCATTTTGGGATGTGTGTGTTGAATGTGATAAAAATGTGTTAAAGTCACTGGCAACAGGATAAGACTACTGATCAAAACAAAAGCCTCTAGTTAATGAGCTCTAAAAGTCACCATTACATTTCTTGGAGAGCCGAAACTCTCCTGACTGTTTTCTGGAACAATCTTTCTAAACACTGAAGCTGCTGAATAACACAAAGCATGGGTGTAATTTGCATCAGTCGGAGGCACTTGGATGTGTTGTTTGCATCCAGCATCAATACTGCTGAAGGAAAATGGGAAGTTAAAAATAAAAGCAGCCAAGCATTGTCAGTAAGTTTCCAAGGCGATCATAAAAAATGTTCAATAGAATTGATGACATGCCAGCCAACACAGTGGGATGTAATGCATTTTAAACAGATGCAATCATCTTAGATTGGCCACTTTGTCATCAGCGTTGAATCTGGTAATTGCTGGCAGCTCAACTAAAAAAGAATAATCAATATGAAAGAGGGCCATGAAACAAAGAGAAAATAAGCACTTTTCTGGGAAGCAGAGATAAATGTAACACTTGCACTGAGCTGGGCGAGCGAGTGTGTAGACTGTGTGCGTGTGTGTGTGTGTGTGTGTGTGTGTGTGTGTGTGTGTAGACTGTGTGCGTGTGTGTAGACCATGTGTGTGTGTGCGTGTGTGTAGACTGTGTGTGAGTATGTAGACTGTATGAGTGTGTAGACTGTGTCTGAGTATGTAGACTGTATGAGTGAGTAGACTGTGTGTGTGTGTGGGCTGTATGAGTGTGTAGACTGTGTGCGTGTGTGTAGACTGTGTGTGAGTATGTAGACTGTGTATGTGTGTGTATACTGTATGAGTGTGTAGACTGTGTGTGTGTGTAGACTGTATGAGTGTGTAGACTGTGTGTGTGTGTGGACTGTATGAGTGTGTAGACTGTGTGTGTGTGTAGACTGTGTGTGTGTGTGTAGACTGTATGAGTGTGTAGACTGTGTGTGAGTGTGTGTAGACTGTGTAGACTGTGTGTATGTGTGTAGACTGTGTGTGAGTGTGTGTGTGTGTGTGTGTGTGTGAGTGTGTGTACACTGTGTGTATGTGTGTAGACTGTGTGTGAGTGTGTGTGTGTGTGTGTGTGTGTGTGTGTGTGTGTGTGTGTGTGTGTGTAGACTGTGTGTAGACTGTGTGTAGACTGTGTGTAGACTGTGTGTGAGTGTGTATGTGTGTGAGTGTGTGTGTGTCAGTGTGTGTGTGTGTGTGTGTGTGTAGACTGTGTGTGAGTGTGTAGACTGTGTGTGAGTGTGTAGACTGTGTGTGTGTGTGTGTGTGTGTGTGTGTGTGTGTGTTCACTCACAGGCTCTGTCGTAGCTCTGCTGTGTCTCTAGATGTTCCCAGCGACTGGAGATTTTTCTCTAGTGTGACAACTGGGGAAACAGTTGAACAAAATAAACATTAAGACGACCTTCCATTCATCCCATAACCTCACTGTCAGACTCATGCAAGGATGAGTTGAACTTGAATCTTAATTGAAAATGACTTTAACCCCAGTCTAAAGAAAGTTCTGGCTCTTTGTTTAAAGGACGCCTCGCTGCTCTTTGACCTCTGTGAGGAGAGATGACGAGAAATGACGATAGACAACCTGAGACTAAGTTTCCTATAAACCTAATCCTAAACCACATGTATGGATCCAACACAAATCTAGAGCTTGTCGTAAACTTAACCCTCAACCAACAATAACTGCCCTCATCCCAAATTTAAACTTAGTCCTAAAAGTAAAATGAATCCAAAAATCAAGATTTAATTGTCAAATTACCTTAACCTGCTAAGCAACTAGTCAAGGTCATTTTGTAAATACTATAAATAAAAACCATTTCAGACCTTAAACCATTGGCTTTTATTGTAAATCATTACAATATATACAATCATCAATATAAAAAAAATCAATTCATATAAAAAAATTGAACTGAATTGAGGATGTTGTATTAGAATGTACTTGCTTTTCCAGCCATATCAAATTACTAAGGCAAAGATAATGATCAGGCCTTAATGGGTTAAATTAAGATTTAACATTGTATGAAATTTAAATGAGGATAAAGGCGAGGTTAAAATTAAATCCTGATTTTAGCATTCTGATTAGAGTTTAGATTTAGGATAAAGTTAGTTCTAGTTGTAGTAGATGTCTACATTAAGATTCTGCTCATGGTTAGTTTACAACCAAACAGTTTATGATTCAGAACACCGAGTACTATATGTTTAAATTTGGTAAAAGGTTTGTGACTGTGAGTTTAAAAATTGGGACGAAAGTTAGTTTAAGATTAAAGTCTGAGTTTAGGTTTCAGATTGGTGTTAGCACGAAAGTACATTTGAGTTAAAGTGAATGAAGCATTTTGTTGTAGATTTAGTGTTAGGATCTAAATTAACAGTACATTTCAAATTAGTGCTCTGAAAAACAAATACAATATCTGATCCTAAACTAACTTTCATCCCTGAACTAAGAATCCATGTGAAGAGAGGAGGGGCAGGTCAAAGGTTTCATGTAGTATTCATGTTAGGATGTAGGAGCAATAACAAGGACAAATTCATGCACAAGCACACGCAGCACATACACACTGAATGTTACTGATGCAAGGTCTTTTACCATTGGCGTTGATCTGGAAGATATTGGAGGAGGTCTCCTGAAACACATCTTGCAGTTCCGAGGGGCTGACCTGTGTGGCTTTGGAAAAAAAAAAACATGATATCAGCAAACACTTCTCAGCCCAGTGGAGTGTGACACTGCAGCAGAGGGAGAGCTGAGCACACAGCGGCAGCACGGAGGGACGACTGCGACCACACAAAAACCACAGAAGTATACCGAGTTATACATTTTCACTTGTCTGTCTGTCTGGTTTGTCTGTTTTTCTCGTTTGTCCATCACACTTGATATCTCCACGGGAGAAAAGGGAAGTTGTTGTTGTTTATTCTGTCTTGATTCATTCCCTTCAGCTCTGCATTTTCCCTGGAAAGCGTGCCCCGGCCTCTTAGTCTCTTTTAGCTCCTTGATTTTGTTTTATCCTGATCATACGCCTCAGTTTTGTGGTTGGAACTCGTTGAGCTGCCTCAAAGTGGCTAAAATGATCAAGTAATGCTGCTTGAACTTTATGCGTTTTCACATGTCTCTTTAAAACCATTCCAACCTTCAATTATGCAGATACTCGCAGAGATGTACTAAAATATTACAGCAATTTTCCAAGAGAACTGAATTACTGAGAAAACATCTGCAGTAGGACATGAACAGACATCATCACGGCTCTGGAGCATCTGAGTTAGTTTGAACGGGAACCTTCTTCTCACCACGGACATGTTGGTTGTTGATATACAGCTGGAGGACGCACGACCATCACCGGTCACTTAGCAGCTGTCCACTGAAACTCTCCAGCAGCAAACGTCCTGTTTTTAACTTCTCTGTACAAATGCTAAGCAACTGTTTTGTCGTGGTTGCTAATATAACTTCCTAGTGACGTCTTACTGGCCATTAAATTATTGAAGACTTCAACATGCTCATCCCTCCTCGGCACCACCACAGCTCACTACTATTTGCCTGATGCTGTACTATCTAGCTGCAGTAACAGACAGACAACCAATGGACACTTCGTCCATGGTATTCTACACTTTTCTCTCATTACCTGTAACTGACGCTGTCGGATGAGTTCATGAATTTTTTTTTAGGTGATAAATCCTCTCTTACATGATGTAAGAGTTTCCCTGGTGCAAAGTGAGGTAAATACGAGGCCTCAATAATTATTAACTGAGACAAAACGACATAAAAAGTTTTATAGCAGACTGATGCACGAGGCCTCATCTGTCTATAAGAACCAATATCTGTTACTTTGATAGCCCTTCAAACATAACTGACATGATACAGTGAAAAAAAATTACAAAAACAATTCATATTTTTAGTCACCACCTTTTAACACCTATTGGCTAGATACTGTGAAATGTTCCCACTGGGTGAACTGAAATAATTGTCTAATGACATCATGAAGTTAGAATGTCATGTTGTCCAAAACTTGCAGTTACAACATGATACCTGCAAAACCAATGAGATTCCCGTCAGCATCAGCTGTGCTGTGTGTTCAGGTCTTACCTGACTCAGTACGTAGGTCATGGTTCTCTCTCACCTCAACTACTGCGACGCTCCTCTGGGGGGCCTCCCTTCACACACAATGAAACCCTTACAGATGTGGTGGTACATCTGGTGTAAGATCATCCTCAAAGGTCACATGTCACTCTGCTCCTTGTGGACCTCCACTTACTGCCCACGNCAAAACTTGCAGTTACAACATGATACCTGCAAAACCAATGAGATTCCCGTCAGCATCAGCTGTGCTGTGTTCAGGTCTTACCTGACTCAGTACGTAGGTCATGGTTCTCTCTCACCTCAACTACTGCGACGCTCCTCTGGGGGGCCTCCCTTCACACACAATGAAACCCTTACAGATGTGGCGGTACATCTGGTGTAAGATCATCCTAAAAGGTCACATGTCACTCTGCTCCTCGTGGACCTCCACTTACTACCCACAAGCTCCTGAATCACATTCAGTCTCTAATGCTGCCGTCAGAGAGACTTCTGGGAATGCTCCATCTACTGGATCTCAGTCATTCAGCCTTATGCTGCTTCTCAGCCACTGTGTTCCTCTAATGAAGGTGGTCTGGCATCACCATCCCTGCACACAGGACAGTCTCAGTCCAGACTGTTCAGGTCTGTGGTTCTACCAGAGCGGGGCGCCTCCTCTCTTCACAGAGACCTCCTCTCCTAACACCTCTAACACCCTGACATGTCTAACTAGCTCTGACTATCAACTTTCACTTCACTTCTTTACTTGCTCTCATTGCACTGTGCCTCACTGATCAGATTTAGTTCTTACCTCAAGGTCTCCTACTGCACTGAAGCTTCAGTGTTGTCCTTGTAAGTCACTTTGGATTAAAGTGTCAGTGAATGTAAATGTAATGTTATGCTGTCAGTGTAAGCGTTATAGCATACTGATATTAGCATTTAGCTCAGGTACTGCCTCACACAGTTGCTTGGCTGAATGATGCTTAAAATATTTATTGATGTACCAGAAAAAATTAGATCGTAAAGTTTAGTGAGCCAACAGAGCAGAGAATAACTCCTGCCATAACAAAATAGCTCGACACAGTGGTCACACAACAACTCCTCCAACCTGAACAACCAGGTAACAACCACCCACCATCTCATATGACCTATAGGAGTGGCTCCTGAAAAAGGGCCCCAAAGTGGCAGGCGTACTGGACCTTCGTCGCCATAGTTGCAATAATAAACGGTCATGGCTTGGTTAGGTTCAGGAAAAGATGGTGGTTTCGGTTAAAATAAGTACTTTACCCAGCGTTAGATGATCTTTGTTGTCATTGTTACAACATAAACAGCTGGTTTCACATGGGAACAGAACACCGCTCTCCTGTGTCATATTCATCCATCCACCACAGCCTCCTCCTGACGTGGACTTTGTCTCTCTTTATACTACGTCACCGCACTATTCCCTTTGCTCCTGTCATCATTACTACGACCACTAGATGTTGCCTAGCAACAAAACCTAAGGGGTCATAATAACCTGCTGCACAGACGACCTGTGGGCTCGTTTCTTACTGGAGGGCAGACTCTCGGTCACAGGTGTTTATACATGACAGACTGCACACACATGACCGAGAACAAGAAGCAAGCTGATGGTGATTCTGAAGCCTGATGGTTTGCTCACGTTTAAAAGTAACTGAATTATTACATCAGTTTACATGCAGGAACAACGTGAGTGTTATTCGGCCTCTCTCGTTAAATGTTAAACAAAACAAGCCAAGCTGACAAAGGGAGTTTTAGAGAATCAAATTAATTGAAAATTGAAAGACTTTAAAGAATTGACACATCAAAGTTACATTAATTAGCGACGGGAGATGGTAGGAAAATTGACATTTACATTAATTATATTGAAAGAGTGTGTATTGTTGTTGTAATGAATGGATGTGGAAACTGAGCGGACATCAAAGGCTGCGGGAGCCTCTAATGCAGGATCTAACTGCAGCGATGATGATAGACTGGACGGGGAAAATGGCATGGCACGAAGCCACAGGCTGGCAGCAGGAGTGGTGAGTCTGCTGTATAACTTATGAGGGCAGGACCATTTTCCTTGTTCAAAAGCACATGTCACTGCAAATGACAGGGGGGGTTAATGGCCTGGAGCCATTACAGCAGGAAGAGATCAACATCACGACCTGTATAAGCCATCTCACCCACCCTTTTGTCAAATACTGCACCCAGTGAGTGCTATCTGCATTTTCTTTCTGACGTGGTCAAAAACTACAGGGCTATAGATAAAATATAGAGGTGAGGAAATGTGTAAAAGAAGTAGTATTTGAGGAAAGGGGGATCAAATATTGAAATGAAATAAAGAGAGACAGACGAGCATAGGTGAAGTCAAAGACAAAGCAGAGCTGGACAATGAAACTGTGGGAGGAACTGAGACCTCCACTGAACATCACAAGTCATTAACTCTACTCACTGAGCTACACTGACAAATCGTCCAGGTAATAACATGATTGCGCGCAGCCACTCGAGCAGAATTACAAGATTGTGATACATTTAAAAATGGCTCATTTTTCAACTGAAGGCCCTTTAGTGTGCTTTTAATGTTATCTCAATATACGCACGCATCTTTAACACTGGCTTTGTACACCTTTCATTTACCATGATGGATGGACATTGAGTGTTCATGCTACAGTGGAGGTAGACCGGCCGATCACCGGATGGGCCTGCAGGATGGCTGCGTATACAGGCTGGTGACAAATTAAAGGAAAAAAAAACGAGTGGAGAAACAGAACAAAGGCAGATACTTCCACACACCTGCACTGCATGTTACGATTGAACAGTTACCATCCGATCATGCTCTGTGGGTGAGTTTGTTGGGGCCTATGGTGACATCTGCATTTAGCTCTACAGGAAAGACGTCAGTAAACACGATTGGACATTTGATGACTGTGAGATCCGCTGTAAGAAAACCAGAAGATCAGCTCTTCCGCAGGTGACTGACGACGTGAATGCAGGACACGGTCAGACTGTGTTAGCAGGAAGTGCCATCGACAGTTACACACAGAGGGATGTTATAGTAGGAAACTCTCAGTACAAAGATGAATCCACATCTGAGAGTTGAGTGGAGCAGAAACCAGAGGCTCTGGTCTACAGAGATGTGGAGAAAGTGATGTTTCAACCTCCGACGCTGAAACATGAAGCATCAACAGAGAAGAGCTAAAAACCGCAGTTCCTCTAATGACCACTAGAGTCTGGCTCCAACAGTGAGTCAGTCCACATAGACTCCCATGTTAATATGTCCAACTTCAGAGCAGAAATAAACATGTTTACAGCCTGGTACAAAAACAGTTTCGGTCTCTACAGCTAATTTCCTCCTTCATGACAACTGTTTATACAACTCACCTGTTACATTTTATTAAGGACTGAAGTTATGGAGAATTGAGGGCGTGGCCTCTTTGAGCGACAGGTGGGTGAGCATCATGAACCGAAGTCTCACCTCCACACACACCCCACGGGGTGGAACAACACCTGACTGAGACGCGTTATGTTGGAAGTCGCACTGAGAATGGCTTCATTTTTCTGAAGCACTCACACATTTCCACACCTCCAACAGCACACACTGATCTGTTGACCACTGA